AACACCTTCATCTACTTATCTGATCCTTTCCAAGCACTTTGCAACCTCTCTCTGATCCTTTTTGGGGAAGAAAGCTGAGATTAACAGAGAGAGTGAAAGTGCATCACTTCTCACAGTGCCTGGAACGTAGTACCTACCAAATAAGGACTTGTTCTTACTGTTGTGATTTTTATCAATCCCACCTGCTCCATTGCACAGTCGCCCATGTTGACAGAAATGGAAAGGTAGCACATAAGACAGATGGAAATGATTTTCAAAATCTATTTTCATGGTCCCAAATCCTATTAACCACATAATTAAATGGACAAGTATGAGTTGGACAATTACCAATCGCAAGTCCCGGAGCCTTGTGCTGCGAAAGAGACACATCAGTAAGTCAGAGAAACGGTAAACAGAGCTTCTCATCTGATGAGGGAGCTATGATATCACCATGGCCCTCAGAATCCCCATCTATAAAGGGAGAATAATGATACAACCTACCCTATGGAGTCATTGTAGGGATTCTGACTATACACATAAAGTGCCAAGAATAGTAGAACAGTAATAGTACTAAGTTAATATTATTATTGCTGTAAATTATGTTTATATGTGGGCACCCTCAGAATGTGTGGTCACCAGGGGTTCTAAAAATTCAGACAAGGGGGAAATTGCTTCCAGCTGGAGTCATCCAGGCAGGCTTCCCAGAAAAGGTGAGATTGAGCTAGAGTTTGAAGGATGGAGATAATTTCACTAGGCAGAGAGGAGCAGGGGAGTTGATCCCTTGGCAACCCTATACAAAAACGGGCAGAAAGGAAGGGGATACCCCATCAGGAAGAAACCTCCGGAGAGCACAAGATTGGTGAAAGGGGCTGGTGAATGGCAAGGCTGGCAAAGCTTCCCGTCTTCTTGTGTCCTTGTTGCATAGAGTCAGCGCTGACGCCTTACCGCACGATGGGCTCTCCCCAACCCTCGCCGGAAAGAAAATCCACGCTGTGCCCCGAGAGACACTCTGAGCACTCCTCTGAATCCTTCATCTACCCGATAGCCAAGAGGAAAACTACTCAGGGTGTGGTAGTCACAGAGAGCTACAGAAACCCTTCCGTTCCCCACTAAATTCCTACACACAGACTCCCAAAAACCCTGCTTCTATTTTGGGCAGTGGCATGCTTAGGAAGAAAAATGCAGGAAATGTGAAATTAGAAGGTGGCAGCAGAACTGCCATCTGCGTAGACGCTGAAAGGCCTTTATTACAGAACCTGAGAGAGAAACTCAGCGAGTTCCTGCAGCGAAGGCTGGCCTGGCTCCAGCGTGCAGGCTGCAGGACGAGGCAGCCAGCACGGCTGCAGTGATTTCAGAGACCAGGGTTGCCAGGCTCCCTTTCCACATATATCTGTTTGTTTAAAGAGAAGAAACCATCTTTGGAAAAATGTCCTGTAATCTGGTATTTCTAGACTCCTTAAAATTTGGAGGAGAAAAAACCCCACCAACTCAAAGATGTTAATTTAGATAATAAGCACAATTCTTGTACCAAGAGGAAGAAAACCATTTTAAACTGCAGCAATGAAAGGTGAATCAATAAAGGATACAGAAGGGTTGATAGATGTGTACAGGCCAATAGGCTTATGCTCATTGGTGACAGGAGCCTTAAAAGCAGAAGGATGAAGATACCAAGCAAAGAGAAAAATTCCCATTAAAGTTGTTTATTTATACCCTGACTCATTCCAAAATTATTTGAGCTTGCCAAAATTCAAGTTGGGAAGCCAAACTATCCACATAGCACCTGCTGACCCCACTGAGCATCACATTTCTGAAAGCAAATGCTAAACTATATAGGGAGAGTTTTTTAAAATTTTCCTTTCCGCGACATGTTCTGTGCAGGAAAAAGAGCATCGCTCAAGCTGGCAATTCACTTGAGCCGAACCTACACTCCCCATTCTGTCACTGTCCTAAACGCCACAGAGACATGTTTCACAAAGGGAACTTTTCTAAATTAAAAATTGTATTAAAGTATAAGATACAGATATGTGTACAAATCATAAATATATATATTTATATATATATAGCTGGATGAATTTTCACAGTGTGAAACTGTCCACGTACAGTCAGCACCCAGGTGAAGAAACAGAACACTCCTGGGGTCCCAGGTTCCCCTCCCTATCAGTGACCCTGTACCTTCAAAGGGAACCACTCTCGTGATTTCTAACACCACAGATGACTTTTGCCTGCTTTTGAGCTTATAGAAATGAAATGATATATCGTTTACTCTTTTCTGTCTGGCTTCTTTCACTCAACATTATGTTTGTGAGATTAATTCACAACTTTCATTCATTCATTCTCATTGTTGCATAGGATTTATTTATTGGAAATGCCATGATTTACTTATCCATTCTTTGGTTAAGAGACAGTTGGGTTATTTCCAGTTTGGGACTAATGCAAACAATGCTGCTGTGAACATCTTTGTACATGTCTTGCATATGTTGGGATTATACCAGGAGTAGGAGAGCTGGATACAGTTTTGAGGGCTTGCTATTCACCAGAAACTGAAAGTAGGCTAGGTCCAGGAATAAAAGCATAGAAAAGCCCAGTTCTTGCTTTCAAGGACCTCATGATCCAGTGAAGGAGAGAGCTGAGCCGGTAAATACTCCCAGATGTTTGTGGCATTGTGTGCAAGAGCACCTGGGACTGGATGGTGCTGGGGTGAGGGGTGAGGCGGGGGGAGGTGAGAGCAAGGGAGGCAGAGTCAGGAATGGCTTCTCAGTGGAGATGACACTCATTGACTTCTGAAGACTGAAGAGGCATTGATGGGGGGACAAAGTGCAGAAGGCAAGGGAACAGCATGTGGAAAAGCCAAGACAAGGGAGAAAGCAGGTCAAGTCCAGAGACCATGTATTAGAGCAACAGAGGAAGTGGGAACATTGTCACTGTGTGGTGACAGGGCTGAGTTGGGGCACATCATGAAGGACCTTGCCTGCCACCTAAGGAAAATGTACGTTATCCTGAATGTGACGGGAAGCCACAGAAGGTTCTAGGGTCCTGCAGAGACAAGATCTGTTCATCCAGATGGCTATGTGGTGATGGGACTGGATAAGGGGAGCCTAGAAGCTAGAAAGAGACTAGAGAGTATGCTTTATCTGGAAGGGGAATATGATATGTTAGCAGATGGAAACTAGGTGATTCTTTAAAGAAGGCCTGGCTTTGGCCCAATATCCAGGCCAAGAATCTGGACGGCTTCTAATGGAATACAGAGTTCATGTGTGGGGTCGGGGGCAGGGAGGTGTGTATGCGCCAAGTTTCAGTGTGCAGAAACCATACATGGTAATTCATGCAGAAAGCTTTTGGGGCCAGCAGGCCACCTGCTGACATCCAGACTCGTGCAGGCAAGGAGCCCTCCTCTTGAGAGCAGAAAGGCAAAGCATACGTGTGAGGAGCTCAAGCTGAAAAGCAAATGCATGGAGCAGTGGCGCCCAGGTCTTATTGCTGTCCATCCCCTCTGGACACCGAGATGGAATGCTGAGTGGCGACAAGCAAGTTCTAATCCCACCAAGCTCCCTGCAAGACTCATGAGGGGATTCTAGAAAAGTCTCCAAGCCCCCTATGTTTTCACTGATTGAAATAATCAATTCAGTAGTAATATTTTATGTAAACTTATCTAATACAGTGGCCTGGTTGGAGCCCAGAAACCTGGTGTTAAAATTCAGTATGGATACTTGATACCTCAGAGAGGCATATAAAATAAAATACGATGGAAAATATGATGCTCATTACTTTATTAAATTTCCTTCTAGTTCTTCTAAGTATAAAATTGGTAATATATTAGAATGTGTGAAATTCATAAAAGTAGAATACATTTGTTCCACATTCTGCCGGCCAAAGAAAACCGTCATTAAGAGGGATTTTTCCTCCCTCCCTCTCGCTTTCCTTTCTTTCTTCCTTCCTTCCTTTTAATTTACACGTTTCTACATAGTTGTAATTATAAGGCAAACTTCATTTTTTGTCATAATTGCCATTATCTCATATTGCTTAAAAATTATGACCATAATTCTCTATTTTTACATAAAAAATTCAAATTTATTGCAAAACTTATAGGAAATACTATGTAGAAAAGAAAAGGAAAACCACCAGAAGTCCCCACATCCAGAGATAATTATCATCAATTCTTACTGCACCTTTCTCTTGACATCTTATGTGTTCTTATGTTTAATTTAACAAAATTGTTTTATCTTCCATTTTGCAATTTTTAAATGATTACCTATGTATTACGAATATCTTTCCTAACTGTATTCCATTAGTATAGCACCAAAATTTATTTAAATAATTCCTATTTTGGGACACTTAAATTCCCAAATTTTCATAAATTGAACAAGTGTAGCATTCTTTACGTTTTTAAAAGTATATATTCTTTACATGAAATTGATGACCAACAACAAAATCTACGTGAATTTTTAAGACTTTGGCTACGTATCACCAAATTTCTATCCAGAATTTATGTACCAGCATATACTGCCAACAGCAAAGTGGTGCCCATTTCTCCACAATTTCACCAACACGAGGCATTATCAATTTTTAAAAATATTGGTTAAAATTTGTAGAAAATGGAATTTTATTATCCCTTTATTACTTATGAGGTTAAATATTTGTGTTTATGGTACATTTTTATTCTTTTTTGAACTGCCTGTTCAAAACAATTTTTATACTGGCATGATTCTGTCACGTGGATATGCCGTTATTTATCTAAGCATTCTCTATCGAAAGAGGAAAAGCAAAGTATATGTGTAAGGAGTTCAAGCCAAAAAGTCAGAGACATTACTACATGTGTCTGGAACAATGTGCCAAAATCTCACTGCCCTCCGTCCCTTCTGGAGACTTCCAAGTTTTTACCCATATGTATGAAACGCAGGAATGAACATCTTTGAGTATAAAGGTTTTTTGTATTTGAGGTATATAGGTAAATTGCTAGAAGTGGTGCTACTAGTTCAAAAAGTATGGCTATTATAAAAATTCTAATTATACTCAGTACCACCTTAATGTAGAATTAACCTTTATTATAGCAGTTAGATAAACCACCAGTAATCTGAGAACAGATGTCCATATAAACCAAGTAGACTGAATTTCTGGTACTGGTGAGTTATGGTGTCTTTTTGTATTTAGTATGAAATATGAAGTAAGACAGGAATCCTGCCTTGCCAAATACTCTCAACCGTTGGCCATGCATTCTTCTCATCAAACCCACCAGGATTCTGGAGTAGAAGGCAGGATGATGTGTCATCTGATGTTAATCACAGATGTTGGAGAAGACAAATGGAAATGGTACTGTGAGGTTACAGGTGTTCGTACTAACTCCTTTGCCACCTTCTCTTGGGATCATCTTCTGGCACCATTTAGCATGGACTCCCTAGAGACTGGAAAAAGAAAAAACTTTAGAAATTATCCTCTGGCCAGCTCCAGTGGCCTAGTGGTTAAGTTTGGCACACTCCACTTCGACAGCCTGGGTTCGGTTCCCGGGCATGGACCTACACCACTTGTCTGTCAGTGGCCATGCTGTGGTGGCAGCCCACATACAAAAAGAGGAAGATTGGCAGCAGATCTTAGCTCAGGGCAAATCTTCCTCATGAAAAAAAAAATTATCCTTGGTTATGGAACCAACCTCTCCATTTTTTAGGGAGGTGTGTGGAGGGGATAATTTCACTAACACACACTTGAGATCAGTATGTGTGAGTATTTGAACATATGTGTCTGCTAATGTATTTGGTGCTAAGGAATAAGAGTTTTAAACGTACCTGATGAACCAGAAGCTTTCTTTAAATGCATATCCCTGAACACCATCCAGAACATCTGGGGTAAAACCATCATGTTGTATTTTAATATGCTGCTCAGGTGATTCTGATGATCAGCCAGATTTGTCTTCTGAAGTTTCATGGCTTTTATTCATTCTGGAAAATTCATAGCCATTTTCACTTAAAATATTGCCCCTTCCCAATTTCCTCCTTTTGAAATTCCCATTAGACCTAAATTGAAACTTTCCTCACCTCCTTGGCTTTCACACCTCTCTCTCTCTCTCTCTCTCCAGTGCTCCAGGTAATTTCCTCAGATGTATCTTTCATGTCATCAATTCTCTCTTTAACTGCCAATCTGCTCTTAAAATTGGCTGTGGTGTTTAATTTTGTTTCTGGCTTTTTGCTGTGAATTGTTCTATTAGGTTGTTTTTCATATGTGCCTGTTCTTCTTTAGTGCCCTGTTCTTTCATAAAAGTTTTTATTTCTCCCTTTCTCTCTTTCATGACTGTAAATATACTTAATTTACAGACAGCTTTAGACTATTTTATTCTCTCGGGGTCTTGTCATGCTACTCCTCCTACAGTATCTGCTGACTCTCCCAGATTGTGGACCACTTCCTTGTTTAATTTGTACTTTTAATTGTGAGCATATTTTCAGCTAGGATATGTTTTCCCTGTGGAATCCTGCACACTTTAAGATGTGGGTGTCACCTTTCGGAGAGGTCTTACTTTTGATTCTTCCGGAAATGCCAAGAGTTTCACAGGTCTGAAATATTTACAGTATCTACATTAATATCGCCATTTAGGATTCCTGTTCTATGGAAATAGTGTAAAATTTGGATTCTATACCTATGCTTAACACAGATTTTTACATTCCCATTTATTGTGGGGGAGCTTGTCCCATCCAGATATCTAATCGGTAAGAATATTGCCAGTTGCTTTCGTAGGATGTGAACGATGTTTTATAGTTCCCTTACGTGGTGGGAGCAGCTCTTCCTCAGTCCCAGCTTTATGCATGAATTTCAGTTCCAACCTTTCACCTTTCACAGGCCCAAGAGCAATTCTTTTATTCCCAGACGTGTTAAAAATCCCAGCTCCCAGCTGTTAGGCCCTATAGCCATGTCTGTTGTCCTCTGTTCTGTTCTGACATCAGCTCATGAACTTACCACATTGGTTATGAGGTTCTTCTTTAGTTTTGACACATAGGAACTTTTTCTCTCTCTCTCTCTCCCTCCCTCTCTCTCACTTTCTTCCTCGGTTATGTATATAAAATAGTTTTGTTATATTTTATCCAGCATTTCTATGTGCCTGTACGTAGAAGGGTGTCAATAGGCTAAGTAGATGGGACGAGAAACCTGCATCAGTCAGGTTTCGACACCACCAACAGGTACAATAGAGAATACACGACCTTTGAAACTGGAACCAGAGTTTGAACTGTGACATCGCCACTTTCTGAGTAGCCTATGCTAAGTCGTTTACCTCTCTAAGCTTTATTTTCTCATGAAGAAAATAGGGAGAATATGAGTACTGATTTTCCTTATGTGTTCTTCCTTACTGCTCTAAATTCTCTCCCATTTAAATTCAAGACATTTTCTCCATCCTCCATTCCTACAAAGCTGAAGAAGATTGCAAGTTTCTTGGAGGCAGTTTCCGTATCTTATTCATATTTTCCCTTACAAAACAAACAATAAATAAGTGAAGTAGTAGTTGATTGAGTGATCTTGTTAATTTCCTTTCATCAATGTATTCTTCACATACCAATGGACTGAGAAAAACCCTGGTTAAAAAAAGAGAGACCTGGGGCTGGCCCGTGGCCAAGTGGTTAAGTTCGCGCCCTCCACTTCAGCTGCCCAGGGTTTCGCTGGTTTGGATCCTGGGCGCAGACATGGCACTGCTCATCAGGCCATGCTGAGGCGGTGTCCCACATGCAACACCTAGAAGGACCCACAACTAAAATACACAACTAGGTACTGGGGGGCTTTGGGGAGAAGAAGAAGAAAAGAAGATTGGCAACCAATGTTTTAAAAAAGAAAAAGAGAGACTGAAATTGGAACGCAATAATGAATTCCATTTCTTAAGAAGTTTGCAAGGATGGGGTGAAAGGCGGAGCTACATCTCTGTGGAGTTTCACACCTCACAGTTCTCATCTCTCTCTTTCTCCCTGGAGTGCAAATGAGTGAAAGCGTATATTGGTTTAGAGGTTCTGCTCAGATAAATGTTGACGAGCCAATAAATCTGTCAGAGTAGCTCTCAGGCTGAGCCAAGGTGAACAGCCTCACAGCAATTCTCCCGGAGCCTCCGGGTACCAGGCAGCACAAGCAGAGAGATCACCAGATGCCTGCTCACCCCATGCCCAGGGGCAGAGACATCACAGGAATATGAGGAGCTTTCCCAAAACGTTGTGCTTACCATGTGGTCGAATTCCTCGTCAAACAACAGAGCAATCAGATTTTAAAAACAGAGAAAAAGACAGAGGCACATAAAAATAATTTTCTCGGTGATTCTGGTGGTTTATAGACTCCAGATGAAAATGACTATTCATTATGGGAGGCAATTCGGTGGTATCACTCAAGAAGTTTAGTGTACACATCCTTTGTTTCAGCTCTCCACTTCTAGAAATTTATGCCTTAGACAGACTCACACAAAAGCACTAGGTTGTCGATGGCAGCTTAATTTTTAATTTTTTACAGTTTATGTTTAAAAACGAAAAATCTGGAAGCGATTAAAATTCTCATCAATGGGAGCTGATAAATATACATCATAGAATAAAATGTTCCCTAGGTACTAAAGCTATGCAGGAGAGCTCTGTATACTCACATAGAAAGGTGTCTGAGATATGTAGTTTATAGACTAACAGCATGAACTTTGGAGCCAGACTACCTGAGCTCAAATGCCTATGTCTAGCTGTGTGACACTGGGCAAGTAGCTTTCCATCTCTGTGCCTCAGTTTGCTCATATATAAAACAAGGATAGCAGTAATACTTGAGCCAGAGGGTTATTGTGAGCAGCAAAATGTGTTAATACATAAAGCGTTTAAAACATCATCAGACCCACAGCCAAGTACTAAACTATTATTATGTTAACTATTAGTAGTAGTAGTAACTAAAAATAGAAAGTTAATGCTAACTGCTTATGTCTGGGGATTACATTTGTGGGGTTTGAGGTGAAAGGGAACTTTCAGTTTTTACTTTGGTAACCAATACCACTTGGATTGATTACAGTGAACGTAACAGTTTTATTAAAAAGAATAATTAAAGTCATTACTCAGAAGTATACTGGATAAGAAGACAGTTGTTCTGAGAGTTTGGCATATAACAGGGACTTTAAAGAACATAACAACAGGGTCTGGCCCCGTGGCCAAGCAGTTAAGTTTGCGTACTCCACTTCGACTGCTTGGCGTTCACCGGTTCGGATCCTGGGCTTGGACCCATGCACTGTTCACCAAGCCATGTGTGGCAGTGTCCCACATAGAGGAACTAGAATGACCTACAACTAGAAGACACAACTATGTGCTGGGGCTTTGGGGAGGAAAAAAAAAGGAGAGGAAGATTGGCAACAGATGTTATCTCAGGGCCAATCTTCCTCACCAAAAATAAATAAATGAACCAATCACAACAATTACTGATGGCTGTATATGTAGAACATTAGGACCTGAGTAAGGTGAGCAATCGTTTACATTTAGTCCCTTATATCTGTAATGCATTTTTACACTCAGCAAAATGTCTTCATATTCATGCCTTCATTTAATCCATCTAACTGGATGATTTCTGAGTTCATTTAATCCCTGTGAAGTGAATTTTCATATTATTTGAAATAGAGAAGGAGAGAGAGAGTGAGTTGGTTGTTTTAGGTTTTTTTCCTGTTCCCAGCAAAACTGGGCAGGCAAGAAAATTGAAGCTTAGAGTGTTAAGGGCTTGCTTAAGATCAGACAGCTTCTAGGGCCAGCTCTGTGGCTGAGTGGTTAAGTTCATGCACTCCACTGCAGCGGCCCAGGGTTTCGCTGGTTCAGATCCTGGGTGCAGGCATGGCACCACTCGTCAGGCCACGTTGAGGCGGCATCCCACATGCTATGACTGGAAGGACCTGCAACTAAGATATACAACTATGTACAGGAGGGGTCTGGGGAGATAAAGCAGGAAAAAAAAAAAAAAGAAAAAAAGAAGATCAGACAGCTTCTGAGTCCCCGAAATGGAGGAAGAGCCAGTTTCCCAAGGCAAAGCCCTTTCCACCTAACCATAATTACCCTGTAAACTGGGCGACCAAAATGGTGACAAAATAGATTTCTAATTCTATGCTATGCATGAACACTATCAAGTATGTGATTTGATAAAAAGGTGGGTTTGTAGTGGGTCAATAGGAAAGAACAGCCAAAAAGTCAGTTCTCAAAGTTTATAAACAAAGCTTCTAATTGCCCCAGGATAAAGATTGGTGACTGGCAACTGACACAGTAGAACTTTTTGAGTGTCTGTCCATAGCACCCTCAGGTGCGACAATGCCGATAAGACCCCAGGGTGAGATAATAAAAAGTGATCAAACAAGTGTAACCAATGGTATAATTAAAAATAGTTTCTATGGGATGTGGTTGAGGTCATTACAACAATGAACACATTTAAAACAATGGGCCAAAAGCCCACTACATGCGTCGTCTTTGGCAAGTTGCTTTTTTCTCTCATTTTCTCACCTCTAAATATGAAGAAGTTGGACTACATGGCTTCTGACATGCCTTTCATCCACCTATTAATCATTCATTAAAAATAGGCATTGTGTGCTTTCTTAGTGCAAGACACTGATGATACTACATTGAATGACATTGATAAGGTCAATGCTCTCAAGGAGTTTGCATTACGGTGTGGGCTAGACAGACAATAAACAAAAAAGTAAACAAGTGCTACCCATAGAATTAAAATAGTCTAGTGGGAAAGTAAGTAATGGAATAGATACTCTAAGTGGGTACCCAGGGAAGGATTCTCTGAGGAGGTGTCATTTTAGATAACATGAGAATATGAGAAAGAATGTGCCCTGTGTGAATGAGGGAGAAGCTTGTTCTACGCAGACGAAGAGCCAGTTCAAAGACTCTAGGGAGGGAATGAGCTTGGTGTTGTGAGCAACCAAACAGCTTTGGTAGGCAAGAAGAGAGCATGTATGGTTCTGTAAGTC